CTTTCAAATATTTCAGTCTGACATATAGTAAATGACGTGTAGCTATGTGCTGTGTTCACAGATTCAACATAGTTTGATCAAACACTCACAGATAGCAGCACTTGTCTGGAATTAGCCACCAATTGCCAATTGGAGGGAGAAAGACGGGACAACATAGATTTATAAGCTTGCTAGAATGGGATTTTATAGGAAGATTTACTACCAACCTACACCATAATAAAGCTGAATTCCTAGCTAAATTCTTCCCGGTGTTCTGTTGCGCATAAATTGAATTGAATGTAAGCGATGCCGGCACTCTTACCAGTGAGCATTCAGCATGGCCGAAAGGAACTAGAGCACTCCCCGGTGAGTGGCCCACAGTGAACGTGTTCAGTTGCCTTATTTTATAGCCTTAAGTACATTTGTGTAAGTTAAAGAATTGACAATTGATGGAAGTAAATAAAAATATGTCTCATAACACTAGAAATATATAGCCTACACTACATTCGCCTATTGAGTTTAAGGATGATCAGTGTCTAATCGAAATAGATCACGACTTACCATGTTTTATATGTATTAACCGTCCTGTAAGTAAACGTTTATATTTCTAGTGTTGTTACGATTTACTTTTAGTCTACTTTTTTATTAACTCCTCAAAAATATCAAAAATAATAAATAATAATAAAGGTTTTGTAATCTCAATAATGCCGGGATTAAAAGATGTCAACCCCGGGATTTTTGGTTATAAAAATTGACCGGAATTCAAGATCCCGGAGATTGAGATCCCTAAGTGCAAAGTACAGAATATAGAGTGTGCTGCTAAATATGGATACGACAACTTTTTAACCAATTCAAACTAATAGGACAATAATTTATTCTAAGCTAGAGCATCTTTTATGGAACATAAACTATCTCAGTAACAAAAACTAAGAGAACATTAATTTTTTAGAATATATATAGGCCTACAGGGTGACAATTAAGTCTTATAACGACTAAGTATTATAACTTTAAAACGAGAAGAGATATCACGACAAAATTTGGCCCATCATTACTGGTTATAGAAAGCTACTTTTCTGTGTACATGGTAATCGATTGTCACCTATGGGGGATATTCACTGTTTTGATGATCAATGATTTTAAATTAATAATTTATTTATTTACAGGATTTATTCGAAGAGGAGAAAACTAGGAAGAGAATAAATTTGTTTGAATTATCTTGATATGGTGTAATTTAAAGAGATTTGTCTTTCGTTTCACCTCTACAGTTGTTGGCTTTATTTTGAGTTTTATCTTTGTAAATTAAATAAGTTAGATTTTGTATTTATTACTTTATAAATAAAAATAATATAAAAGTGACTCTCACATAAAACCTGTGTTCTTTGCAACCTCCTAATCTGTTTTCTGTTCTTAATGATCTTTTTCCTTTTCTTCATTGCTAAAGAAATCTTGTGCACTATTTCACCACACAAGGCAATCTTTCCATCGTCCTACTCAAATATACAAAATTAGTGATGCAGGGCTTCACAGAAAGTGTGAAAACTATTTTGTTGTTATTAAGGCCAGGCGCACACAGGTGACTTTGAGTATATCGACAATTGGCCTATCAAAATGTTCAACATCGTTTTAAATTGGAGTGCACAAACCAAGGAAACAGTCGAGGGACAGTGACGCAACTGTTGTGACCGGTGTTCCCGGACTCAATTTGCCAGACAGCTCCACGACTCAAATGTCGCAGGACTGTCGCTCCAGGCTTGGTGTCCATTGAAACAAATCTAGACGCGCACACATACGACTAGTGTAGCTCAGTCTCAATCGGCTACTCGTGGTACCCACAGTGTCACTTCTGTTTGCTCTCTTAATTGTTGTGTAAAGTTTGTTTGGAAGAAAGTGCATTTTTAAGTATGAGTGTGTTGAGGAAGTTGAATAATTAATTTATGAAGTTGTAAAGAGGCCGACTTTATATTTTAAGTCATTTAAATACTATTCTGATATTAATTTGAAGAAGACGTTGTGGGAGGAGATATTCTTGGCAGTTACAAAAGATTGGAACAATCTAATCCTCTTCTTTTTTTGCACACAAAATTTCAATATCAGAGAGTACATACTATTGTTGTATCATTTAAATCCATACTGTAATGTCCAATTTTTGTCTTAAACAGTTGCCTGTGTGCACACTCTGCGCAATTGTCCCTTGAATTTAGAGACTCTGATTAAGTTGCGCAACAGTCCCCTTATTAATTGGGCAACTGTTGCTAGACTCAAAATCCCCTGTGTGCGCCTGGCCTAACTAACTAAAAAAATTACAATTTGACGGGTCCATTATGGATATAATGTTTCTGTAAAGCACTTGAAAATGCCATATCTGGCAAAACATATTATGTCGTAGATTTAAAACACTATAAATTTGAAGTGCAAGACAAAAGGTATGTAATAGTTTGGCCTTGATAAGTTGGTTAGCCTTTAACAACAATCATCAGTTAGTTAACTTTCCAGAAGTTGTATCACATAGTTACCTCTGAGGTTTTTTGTCTTTGTTTTATGTGAGACCGTGTATGTTATGATGATTTAATTTTTCCCCATTGTTACACTGCGCCACGTCTTGTTGGTGAGATATTGCGCAGCGGGGGTCTGGACCATGCACGGTCTTGAATAAATTGTTATATCTTGGTTGATTATTAATCATTCTTTAAGTACAACTTGAGTACGGTTGAATTACCTAGTCATAAAATTTTCTATTGACGCATACTCTTGATAGTTTTTGATATCACTCATTTTAAAGATGTTTAAGAGTTAGAATAATTAAATGCTCACCATTTGGGATTGGTACAATTTATAAATCTGATTGTACTTATCTGTCACTACTTACGTACCCAAGTTTCAAGTCAATCGCTTAATGAATTGGAAAGTTATGGATTCATTTGTGAAAATCACATACAGACACACAGACAGAAAATCAGGCATCTTAGACCCATGTTTATATGGTGTTTTTATACTTTGTTTGGACCTAAGGAACAAATATACAAAAGGGTTACAGAGAGTTCCGAGACAGCCTGTGTTTTTATAAACATAACATTTTGAAAGGATGGTGTTTTTGGCCTCTGGGAACATCAAAATGAAAAAGTAAATCGATCCCGGATCAAGGTCTTACCATGCCACCTATGGTAATAGCTACTTCCTTATAGAGAAATTCGCTAAAAATTAGTTGTCCATGTTTTATCTGTCTTGGAAAAAGAGATGGAAAAATCTCTTGCAAAAGTTTGGTATCTGTAAATCTCTATGTTTTACCTCTTATTTAGCCTACAGTCTTGGTATCTTATGATATTTCAATGGACATTGTGGTGTAGGGGTGAAATGAAATGAGAATCCTTTATTGAGTGAACTTAGGACCTTATATGGTCCTTTCTTACACTTACCTTCTAAAAAACTAATAACAACATAATATTAACAAAAAATACAATAAAGTTTGTAACATAACAAGTAATAAAATAGGTAGCATACATTTTATTCATCTTCCCTAACATACAGTAACACACACACATACACCACACCTTCTGCTGCAACTAGGCCTAACGCACACGACATCCCATCAAACCACGGCCATCTGGTAAAGGTAATTTTCTTTCAGCGCCACCATCAGTCAAATAGGTTTTCTATGGATTTGATGGGAAAAGTTATGGAGTTCCATAGGCAGCATGCTGTAACTAAAAATGATTTATTATAAACAGTTGTTCTGTGATGAGGAATGCGAAGAGTGGATGAGCCAGGGCGGGTATCCCTTGCGCCTCTTTCATAAAATTTTTTTAAATACTTTGCAAGATGAAATGAGTAATGGAAAGTATTCGTATTCATGGCGGTAGTGGAAAGTATTCATATTTTTCTGATGTCCTCTAATTTCAAAATTGATTCATTAATTAGGGGTTACCCTGTTTTTCATAGGGTGTAACTTGGTCATCAGGCCTAAGATCGAACAAGAATCGAGAACAATAATTTTGTACACGTTGTAATTTTTTGCCAAAGTCATATCTTTAACCACAGTGTTGCAGTAGTAGTTAAAGTGTCGGAACAAGAGTGATTTGACCAGTAAGAGTTTAATGTGAAAAGGTAGAAGTCGTTGCATCTTTTTCAGTGTGTGAACAATGGCAAACACTATTTTACAGGTGTTTACCAGTCCAGTCCAATGTGTGGTTTAAAGTCAAACCAAGACTTTTTACTTTGTCCTGGTATTGCAAAGTGGTTTCGATTACAGTGATTTTTGGTAAATAGTCTAAATCTGAGTGACCGTGAGTGACATTTGATGATTGGCTTTGTTTTGTCAGAATTGAGTCTAAGTCTCTGTTCCTTTCTGCCCATTGAACACGAGGCTTTTTACCATTGGACCATCATCATCAAGATGTTCAATTTATGCATGAAATTGATACTCAATAAACAGAAAAATAGAAAACTTAAAAGATTTTACCTAGACCCTAAATAAAAATATACTTGTATTAACAACTATATCCAATTCCAAGCAAAAGTTTATTAATGGAAAAAGATTGATACCTTGTATTTTTTTGGTACAGGCTAGACTATAGTTGATTTGTTGTGTTGAGTGGCTGGTTCAGTTGGCTTTTTTATCTGTAAAATGATCATGATATTCATTTGTTTTCCCTTTATCACACCAACCTTTACACTATTTTGTTCCTCGATATTTTTAAGCAGGGTTTCAGTTACATTATTTCCTTGAGTGTAGTTCTCAGTTCATTCCAAGATAATCTTGAGATTTATTTTCTCTAATTTCCTAGTCCGATAAAGCCATTTGATGTTGATTTAACTCCATTATTTATCTATTAATAATCTCAGTTAAAATTCTTTGGAAATTGTATATTACTGCACTAAAATGTTCACTCTTTTACATATATCCATCCTCCAATACTCCTTCCCAAGCACAGCAATTCATTCTAAGCTGTGCAATCCAACTATTTGAATAATTGGAAAAATTGTAAATAAAAATTTTGTGTCTCACTCTCACAGCTGTGCAACAACTAACCTAAAACTGTTTAGCCAACATGTAAACCTTTAGAAGATAGAAATAATGTCAAAGAAACCTATTAAACTTCCCTATGATATTCCTTGGATTCTTCAAAGGTGTAGAGCTTTTTTGCTCGGTAGAGAGCACAGGTCAGCCCTAAGGTGGGCCAAAGACTTGGCACCTAAAACTCAACCTCAACCCGATCTTCCTCTTGGACCTTCCAGTAAAATACGCTTTAACTACTATTGCGACCGAGACCCTAGAGGGGAAGTGATGAGGCCTAGAGTTCTCTATGAAGCGGAAGTTAGAAAGCGAATGTTGTCAGAATGCAAAAGAGCAGAAGCTGCAGGTTTCATGCTGGAAGGTGTAACAGTTGGGCTTGAAGAAGCAGAAAGAAAGACAGAAGAAGGAAAAGAAAAAAATGAAAAAGTGAAAGGCTTTGATGAAACCAAGGATGAAGGAATTCCCACTGAGAATCGAGAAAGGAACTTAGGAAGAGTGAAAGAAAAGGATAGGAATGCTGTCAGGAGAGTCCCAGGAAAAGTATGGCATTGGGACACATTGGATGGTGATCCTACCAAAAAGTGCTGTGGAAAATAAAATGTTGTTACAATTGTAGCAACTTATAGGTACCTAATTGAGCAATTTATTAAAAAAATTAAAAATAGGTATAAGCAAAAGAAAATTATTTAAAAGACAATGTTTGTGACTACCGGCACCTAACAGTTTGTACTAATGCATCCAGGATTAAAAATAGATAAATTTACTTGTATCATTTCAAAATATAAACAATAATTGCAATTAGAGCCACTAAGTTGTAGTTTTTTGGCTGAGAATAGTATGGTTTTAAACAATTATGAGAAGTGTAATTTGTTACGATAATACAAAAATGTTTATGCGTTTTAGAAATTAATGGCTTATACACTCTAAAGCTAGATAACTAATTTCAACAAATATTTGTTTCCAATTAAGTTGTTATTTATTGAACTTCATGCGGGTAGCTTTATAGGTAGGAATGGTGCTTATAGAACTAGTTTGTGTGTACTATGTCACTAGAGTGTTAAAATTATTGAGGCAATTCAATTATAATTTATGTAATTTAGAAATGAATGTCTCAAAACTCTCAAGATAACTATAAATTAGGAAAGTTTTCCCAACAGTTACCTGACAAAGCGGACTTCCTTGCGATTATTTTATAGCACGCAAAGTAGCTAAATGCTGCATTTACTTACATTTTCCGCCCTCATTTTACTTTTACCACACTTGTTTTTTGCCGCACTCTAGTACCTATTCCTATTCCAAGTTCCTTGAAAATAGGTTGGCAACACTTAAAGATAAAGTAGTACTACTTCTAAGGTCAGCTGGTTGACTATTGATAGTAACCTGTTGTTCGCGTTAACCATATGGTATATGTTAGATTTCGTAAACATTTTGATTGAACATAACCAACATAAGTTAAATGTTTGAAGGAATAATAATGTTTGCAAATAATAAACATAGATAATAGTACATTTCGTATCTAGGGCCGAAAATGAGGTTTTGCCGGCTCGAGATAGTTTGTATTTGTAAAAACGATCGAGAGCTGCATAACTATTTCTGTCCGCGGTACGGACGCTATTTTTCACCACACTATACCCTATTACCACTATTCACCACAATAATAATGCAGTAATGCACACTAATAGTCAACGCTAGTACAAATTTAAGGTTACTGTATGTGAAGAAATAATTTTAGGAATCGGCAAAAAAATGATAAATAGTTGCTAGTCAGCGGTGACAATAAAACAATTCTATTGCTATGCTATGGATACTGATTGTGTATAATTTTAAGAAAGTGCCTAAGCGGGCCTAGATTTTCGGCCATAGGGATGTAAAAACCTGCTTGGTCCCCAATTGACGATGATGACAGCTCGCATGGACAGTAATATATACGTAGCTTTCAGCCTCCTTAACGTTTGTAAAACGGCTAAATCGTAGTGTGGGGAATAGTTATTTGTGCAACGGTTATAGTAGTATGTTTTCTGTGGCAACTAGTGAGCAAAGGGAGCAATTGACTCACTCGAGAGAAATACTTACTCGAGAGGAATGGTTTCTCGAGTAAGGCAGTTGCACCTTGCACTCGAGTTGCACATTATATTTTTCCTACAGTTACCATAAAACAAATAAATTGGTAAAGAAACGTGACATTTTTTTACACAGAAGTGAACTTTTAATAGGTATGCCATTTAATTATACAACAGTATAACAGCTGACCAGCTGATTTACAGCCAGTGCTGCCGACGTATTTCGCGCGCATACGACCTTGTCTGCATGTTACGCACTCACTATTTCGTGCCTTCACGTTGCAAATCTGGAGCGAGTGAGACAAAGTAATTAGAGTGAGATAATGTTACATTGTCTCACTGATGAGCGAATTGGCCACTTTGCTTTCTCAAATCAGTGAGAGAACATATACATTGTTAGGTAAAAACTTTTTCCTACAGTTTGAGTTACTGGACAAAGCTGGCTTTCTTGTACTGATTATAGCGCGGTAAGTACCTAGCTAATTGCTGTATTCACTTACTTTTGCCGCACTCATTTTTTCGCACTCCAGTATTCCAACCAATAAACAACAAAAATCAATGCTCTTTTACTAGTCGCGTAATACGTGTACGCTTGAAAATAAGTTGGCAACACTTGTGTGCTTAAAGATACTACGACTACGATCAGCTGGTGCAGGTGCAGTGCAGTTGTTTCCCATTTCGTTCAAAACTTGCGCTTACCCAAATCGTGCTTACCCAAATCGTGTTGTTTAGTGTTTGAAAGACTAATATTATTTCTATGTTTTATAGTAACTGTATGGAAAATACTGTATAATGTGTAACACGAGTGAAAAGTGCCACTTCAATGAATGAAATTTCAAGGAAGAAATATGAACGCGGCTATGAACTGTTTTCTTCTTGGTGTGTAAGTAAGAAAGATACTTTCTGATTTTTATTATGTCTGTGAGATTCCGTTCTGATTTTTATTTGTAAAACATTTCATTTCGGTTTTCATTTGTTAATCTGTTTGTACTTAATTTGAGGGTGTTGAAACTGCTTAAGCGAAGTTCTCCTGTAGGCTACATACATGTTTATACTGATTATACCCATTAATTTTATGTTTTGTAAGAAAAATATAATGTGTAACACGAGGGTAAAGAGCCTTTACTGCACTCGAAAAACGTTCCACACCCGCCTGCGGCTCGAGCGCAACAATTTTTCTAATAACTCTTAACAGTAATTTCAGCTAATGTTTAGGATAAAGAATGTTGCAAGAGTTACATTTGAATTAGCTATATTTCCAAATGGAAATAACCTGAAATTAACATTTTTTTCTACAATTCGTTTTGGTATGTTGTTAAGATGTTTATCCCATACCGGTACTGTGTTATTTAAAATAGCCTACCGTAAATAACATTGGAAAATCATGTGGATGTCAGTCACTGCACTAAAACTTCACCAACATGAAACATAACATAACGTCACCAACATTATGTTTGCTGTTGGTGACGTTTTAGTGCACTGACGACATCCGCATGGTTTTTTTTTTCAATGTTATTTACGGTATATTTAACAATTCATGTTTATCCAGAGGACAAAGAATACCGGTAGGATACATAAATTGTATCCAATAAGTTTTAAAATCGGGTAGCTCTTGCTCTTAGCAGTCTTTAGCACGAAACAAAGATCGTCGCATAGAGGTAGAATCTACGAGTCGTATATAGGAACCGGCTAGAACATTGTGTATTGTGAGGGAAGTAATGAATACAGCGCTAGTTTCATATTTGAACTAACTACTGGAGTTCGCTGGGGGACCTTAACTTACAGAAAACTCTCGTAGTACAATACTAAATGAAACATACTATTTTATATATGTCATCCTTCTGAAGAAGAAAAACGTACCGGTGCACTAAAAGTTTAAAAGTCGGTGTACTAAAAGTAGATGGTTTAAAAGGAGGTTAGGCATACATTAAAAATTCTTCCTTGGCATTTTAGTATCCTTATGTATTTTTGACAATGTCGAGGAATTTGCATGTACTTTTATATATTAAAGGGGTTTTATTATATATTTTCTTGCAATTTAACCAATAAGACAAATCGTAGACAACAAAACACTCTGTACATAAATGGGACAGAGCTAACCTAACAATTTTTCTCCGTTTCATAACAAAAAGATGAAATCTGCAAGATAGCATGTTATATTCCTGCTCATAGGTCCCCAGTTGCTTCCTCGTTCAACACACCAACTAACAGCTGTCTAGGAATGGAGGAAGACATTTTAACATCAATTTCCAAACATCCATTTCCATTGTCCACATCCTTGGCCCTGGGAGGAAGGTTGTGGGTTTGTCACTATTTTTAGCCCATTCAAACGCCCACTGCTCGTGTATTTTAACAGTTTTATCCTCGCTCATGTGTGTGGGATACTTGTATTATACAATGTTGCATACTGAAAAATCGCACCTCCAGCTCGTGTCATAACGTACTTGATCGCGCTCTGGGGCCGCTCTGACGCTCCGACACCCACGTGCGAAACTTCCTCATGATTTGTGTTGAAGGTGGACAATGATATTGTAGGGTGGATAAGAAGATGGTGTTCCTAGTGAAGTTTAAAAACTCTTCATATAGTGCCTGCCTAATAATCAGAAACCGAGAAAACATAAGATTTGATCTTGAGAAAAATCAGTAGGTTATAAGGTTTTCCAATCGTCCCAACTCAGTAAGAACTCAACTTCGTAATACAGTGCTGTATCTCCATTTTGGCTGACAGAACCAAAACTGTCCTCAAGAATCCACTGGCGGTTGTTTGTTCATCTTGTCCAACCATGCTTCCATTGAGAAGTCATGTGGCACATGTCCATCTTTGCTCACAAAACTCCTAATAAACATAGTGCACTCCTTCTTTGCCAGCCACTCCTCCTTGGTCTAGTGGCATATGTGTTTTTCCAACCAAATGGAATGTCTTCATATGATAGTATTCTTTCCGGTGGCGTGTTTCTAGCTTTTTCCACATTCCATAAAATTCCTTCAGAGTAGTGCAGACCCTATATGCCAACCAAATGCCTCCAGTCAGTTGTCCAGTGGCATTTTCACTTTCCTCGCCAAACCTTCAGGCCAAAGTGCGCTTCTTCTTGCCACCTACCTTCAGTAGGCCTCTGGTGATACTGTAGTTCGTCTTTGCCAACCGAATGCCTCTAGTCAGTAGTCCAGTGGCGGTCGTTTGTCCATCTTCTTGTCCTACAACACATTACAGGGTGACAGGGACAACATGTCGGACACAAAAACTGGAGTCGTGGCCGCGGAATAAATTTGCGGTCGGCGATGGTCCGAGGCGCCGGATCGTGCGGATACCATCTGGGGGGGGGGTCCAATTAAAAAGGGAACCAGAGCCCCGACCACATTTTGGATCTGATTGTGATCCTTGGTGTCAAGTTGCCGCCTTGAATGGTGGGGCGCCACCGCGGTATGTTCATTGTTACTGGATGTCGGATACGGTTATGTTTTTTCTTGATTTATGCGTTGTAGACTGAATTCAAAGATGTGCACTTCAAGATTGGTCTCGGCTGCTTCCTTAGTGTCAATAATTTTGATCCTCAAAAATTTTCGAACATTCAATCCTAAATTGTTCGAATCTGTATTCAGGTCAACCTTGTGAGTAAAACAACCACTTTTCAAAGAGGTGGACTTTTGAATATGTTA